AACCAGACTTTTCTTTCACCTGCAGTTATAATCTATTAAATCACTGCAATCTATGCAAAATTTAAGGGGAAAAAATCCTCAATCAAAACGATTTGGTGAGTGCTCAAGCACAACATCTAACTATTGCAATTCCATTGACACTAAACTATCAAAAGCAGCAATACTGTCAAGAAGGCAAGAGTTCGGGAAAACTTCTCACACACCAGGAATCAAGAGTACCACAGATTGTATTTCAGGCCAAGGGAACAAGGGACCATGAAGATTAGGCATTTACACTACAGGGTTGTTCACTGGTGTGAACGAAGAATCAAGAAATATACCTGTCGCTACTTGGGGTTTGTACTGACTTGGGAACATCCATGCGCAGAGTTATCACTGCACAGCAAACCTGATTGCTGCCTTCTTTCTACATTTTTAAAAAAATTTTTTTGAGACGGGCACTAGATATCTGGAAGCATTCCTATCAAACTATCCCCCCAGATCCAAAAATTACCAGGCATCTGACATAAACCCATCAAGTCTGTATTGTAGCTGCTGTGCCTGTAAGATTATGTTAGGTGAAACTAATTATCTACACTGCACTTCTTCATAAATAATGGTGATAACTGCTATTTTTAAATGAGCATAATGGTCCTTTAGGTTTTAGTTATTTAGCCTCAGGCATTCCTATTCCTTTATAAAACGAAATTCATAGCAAACATATTTCAATACATCGACCATTTCACCTGCTTGTAAAAGGAAGCATATCAATATCATGTCTAAGAAGAACTTTGCAGAATCAGAATAGTTTTGAAGCCAAAGAAAGTGCCACTTACATATAGGGAAAGCTTCTCTTTCCTTTCTTTGAAGAGTCAAGGCCACATTTTTGTTTTTTTTAAAAGAAACAAACAAAAAAAGCAAATATCTGCTGAGAGATTAAATTGTGCATCAGATAAAGTACCATCATCTTTCTATTAAAACTTTGAGACGTCCAAAAGCATGTTTATGCAATGAACAATTTTTTCTACCAAAATCACAAAACTGCCACCCTCATATGAGAAAAGCAGCCTGAGTTAGTTACTTTTCAGATGTCTTGTAGAGTCAGATATATTACACCTTTTTTTCTCTTTTTAAATGGCGGGATTAAATCAAAAACCATCTTCAGCTATTCCAATACCTGAAGTGTGCAGTCAACAAAGGGACCACTCAATATGAGGGGTTTTATTGAAACCTGCCTCTTGCGCCCATTATCCTGAAAAGTACAAGCAAGGACAGGACCGTTTCAGTCATTTTTTTTTTTTTAGAGACACTAAAGCAGAAGCTAAAATCTTGCTTAAAAAAATAATAATCTGTGATTTTTGTGCAAAGAGGATTCCAGGGGAAGCAACAGGAATTGCTTTCTCTTTTGAGGAAAAATAGAAGAACTCAAGCCTCCTCGGTTAGGGCCTGCAATCACTCTAAAGCAGATAGCTATGGAAATAGGAGCATGGCCCATAACTAGATGTGAGCTAAAGCTATGGGCATTTTATACCTGTATGTCTCGCATATTTACAACATTTGGTGCTATACAAGATTTACATTTCGTTTGTACAGCAGATGCACCATTCTAAGGGCAACGCCTAGAAATGCCAGATACAGAGGTTACCCATTTCTCCCCCTCTCCTCTACAAAATCTACACGTAAAGATGACAGTGCAGTCCACAAGCCGCCTCAATCGACACACCTCATGTTCCCACAGCTCCACTCCCAAACCTCCCTGGGATATTATCACGCACGTTTCCATCGTGAAGGTGTGCAAGAATGTGGCCGCCTGTAGAACGCACTGGCACACAATCCACAAACATCGCTGCAGAAAGGGATCAAGGATATGAGTTAAAACTGCAGCACCGAGAATAGAGAAGCTTTTCGTTACTCAAATGGACATTTAAGCACGGGAGTATAACAGGAATACTAAAACTTCACTGGCTTTGGGTGGAATCTCCAGGGCAATGGGGTTTTTCCTAATGGGGTTGAACACGGGCCCCACGTGGACAGCAGCTGGCCCAAACGGGACACCAAGGTACCTGCTTGCAATCTGCAGAAACAGGTCGCTGAGGCGAACTACCAGACATAGAGCTCAGGGATGCAATACGTTCAGATATGGTCTGTGCAAGATGGTGGTAGCAGCTGGGAAGGCAGAGGTTTCTAAATGCTTAGCGTAAGTAATCCAGGCGCCATCTCTAGCAGAGGCCAAATTAATTTGAAAAGTATCTCTGCAGCCATATATATATATATATATATATATATATATATATATATAT